CTTTGTTGAAACAATCCGGTACTCCGGGTCATTAAACTGGATCAAAGAGACAGAAGTGAACAAACTTGTTTATCAGAAATCAAGAAAATCATAACATTATTATAAAAATAATAAAAACATAACCAGATCTGTCACAGACGTGTTTATTTTTCAGACATTCATATGTTGGCTTCAGATTCCTTTTCAGCTGATTATGAGCTGAAATCTTTCCAGTGGATAATTCTCCTCCTGTGTTTGTCTCATTTCTTGGCACTTTATTTTTGTTGAAAGACAAGAAGAAAGCAGTTCTGGTCTAAAATAAACTATCTGATCACAATTTCTACTCTCCACTCCTACTCCTGGAGAGGCCACCTTAAACAGTTCATCTTTAGGATGTCTCAGAGCTCAACGGGCCACAGATCTGTTAACTGAAATATCTTCTGACTCTTTAAAAAGCCACTCGGTGTTGAATGAATGAGTCATACGTGTCATGTAGCCCCATCTTTCAGTTGGTCTTTTAATCTTTTTTCTCACCTAAAACTCAAACCTAGCTTATACTGATGCTGCTCAATAATCCAGGTAGAAAAATCTAAAAAAGTTAAATCTGGTCCTCTGGACATTCAAAAAACAAAAAGCAAAACAACAACAAAACATAGAAAAATTTTGTCTTTCTTAAAGACTTCCTCAGTCTGAGGAGCTGTATTCAGCTCAGTCTCTTAAATAGCACCTTCTCAGAGTGGATCAACCAGTTTGCTGCTGACAACCAGAACCAGCTGATCACATGCTCAAGAAGGACCATCAGCCTAACAATGGATCATTAGCACCTGATGGCTGTTTACTGTTCACAGAGGGCTGAGTGATACTAGCAATCACAGCATTGTAAGAGGGGGACAGTTGAACCTGGAGGCTCCACCCCTGTTTAATGATGGACGGTTTCTTTTCACAAAGATACCATACCACTTTATTTATAAGGCACTTAAAACAGCTACAAGGCCAACCAAAGTGCTGTACAGACAGAACAACAGGTAACACACAAAGCAAAATACAAAATAAGGTAAATCAGAATATAGACATAAAAACGATGCAGATAATGACAACAAACCAGTGTGGAGCATACAGGATCAAAACACAGATCTGGTGTTGAAAGCTACTGAATAGTAGTGAGTTTTTAAACGGGACTTGAAAACCGAGAGGGAGGGGGCCTGTCTGACAAGCAGAGGTAACTCGTTCCAGAGTCTTGGTCCTGCTACAGAGAAGGTCCTGTCACCTCTGCGCTTAAGACGAGTTCCTGGAACTGTGAGGAGCAACTGGTCCGCTGGCCTCAGGGAGCATGGTGGGACATACGGTTGTAGCAGATCAGAGAGATGGGGGGGCGACACTGTTCAGTGATTTGTAGACATACATGAGTATTTTGAACTGGATTCGAAAGTGAACTGGTAACCAGTGCAGTGAGGCCAAAACTGGTGTAATGTGCTCTCTTTTGCCTGTACTGGTTAAAAATGGGGCTGCTGCATTCTGGACCAGTTGTAGTCGTGCAATGGAGGTCTGACTGATACCAAACAGGAGCGAATTGCAGTAATCAAGCCTAGATGTAATGAATGCATGTATTACTGTCTCCAGGTTCTTTTTGGACAATATGGGCTTCAGTTTAGACAGCCGCCTCAGTTGGAAGAAGCATGATTTAACAATCATGTTTACATGATTGTTAAGTTTCAGGGAAGGGTCCATTATCACGCCCAGATTAGTGACTCTTTGTTTTTCTGACAGGGTTAGAGCGGAGAGGTTGATGCAGTGATTTGTGATCGTGTCGTTGGGAGGGAACAACATGACTTCAGACTTCTTTTCATTGAAACTTAAGAAGTTTAAAGCCATCCAGTCCCTGATGTCAGACAGGCAGTTGAGCAGCGCTTGAATAGAGCATGTACCATTGTGTCTTAGGGGGAAGTAAATTTGACAGTCATCGGCATAGAAGTGGAAGGCCATGTTGTGTTTCCGGAAAATAGCACCAAGCAGCAGCAGGTATAAAGAGGATAGGATGGGACCCAGGATGGACCCCTGCGGAACCCCCCATTTAAGCTCTGCCTCTGTGGAACTAAAATCCTTGATGGAGACACAAAAGGATCTGTCAGTGAGGTAAGATCTGAACCAATTGAGGGCTGATCCTGTGACGCCCACCCACTGCTCCAACCTAGCAATGAGGATCTCATGGTCGATGGTGTCAAAGGCGGCTGTGAGGTCCAACAGGACAAGCAGCACAGAATCACCGGTATCTGTGAATCTGAAGATGTCATTAAAGACCTTCAGCAGGGCAGTTTCAGTGCTGTGGAGAGGTTTAAAGCCAGATTGGAAAATATGCTGGTGAAGATTCTCAGTCATCCAGGACATGATGAATTCAAAAAGCGTTCAATACAAAAACAACTGGACTTTATTTGTAAAAACAACTGGACTTTATTTGTAACAGAAGACGTTTCTCTCATCCGAGGAGCTTTCGCAATTCAAAGAGCAGAAAGTGAGAGATTCAGGTTATAAGACTGAGTGAGATAATACACACACACATATGTAGATTGACAAATCACACCTAAACACCTTAACAGTAAGAGTCTTTTGTTCCTCTAATTCACAGACGAGGCTCCTCTGTTCCCATCAGGTGTGAAAACCGGCTGGGAATCTGTTTTAAAGTTGCATTATAGGTTTTTGAAAGTGGAAATCTGAGGCCTCCTCCTCTGTTAAGAGACGCCTTTTCTCTTTTTACATAAATTGCTTCCTTCACCCCCCTCTCAAACCATCTATGTGCACATTTTTGTCCTCAAAAGAGTGTCTCTTATCTGTGAGGTGGAGGTGAACTGCTGAATTTTGTCCAGAGGAGGTGGCTCTCCTGTGTTGAGCCATGCGTCTGTGAAGAGGCTGTTTAGTTTCTCCAATGTAGAGGTCTGGACAGTCAAATAAAGTTACAAATAAAGTCCAGTTGTTTCTGTATTGAACGTTTTTTGAATTCAGATTGGAAAAGCTCTAAGATGGCGTGATCCTCCAGGAAGCACTTCAACTGGGACTCGACTGTTTTCTCCAGTAGTTTAGAAACAAATGGGAGTTTGGAGACAGGCCGGTAGTTGGAAACGACTGAGCGGTCAAGGTTTGGTTTTTTCAGGAGAGGCTGGAAGGCAGCATGTTTAAAGGATTTTGACACCACGCCAGTGGATAAACTACTGTTTACTATATCAAGAATGGACGGACCTAGAGTTGGAAAAACCTCCTTTAGTAGTTGAGGGGGGACCACATCAAAGGGGGAGCCAGAAGGTTTCAAGCTGCACATGACCTGCTCTAGAGAAGATAGAGTGATGGGTTCAAAATGGTCAAAAGGAGCTACAGATGGAGGTGGGATGGATGGGTCATGAGTTGGAGGGGAAATGAGAGCCCTGGTGGTCGCAATTTTTTCCAAAAAGAAATGTAGGAAGTTGTCGCACAGCTCAGTCGAGGCTTCCAGAGGTGATGGTTCAGTGAGGTGGAGAACAGAGTTTAGGGTGGAGAAGAGGACACGTGGGTTGTGAGAGTTTGAGGTAATTATATCAGAGAAGTATTTGGATTTAGCAGCTTTCACTGCTTTCTGATAACAGTGCCAACTCTCTTTAAGTATTTGAAAAGAGACCTGCAGCCTGTCTTTCCTCCACTTTCGCTCCGCCCTCCTACATTGCTGCCTAACGGCCTTGGTGACGTCACTCAGCCAAGGTTCTGCTCTGATTTTTTGGTTTTAACAGGTGGATTCCTCCAAGCAGATGGATGGAGCAGAGCAGGTCCAGTCTTGACAAATAGGTGGAAATGCATCAATAGTCTGGAAATATTTCACTAAAGATGAATCTTCTAGTTCAACTACCGTAAGGAAACAGAAAATTAATCAACTTCCTGACTGTTTGGAGCTCGTTGTGAACCGGTGATACACCATATTTTGTGATGGTAGGGGGCGGTGTTGCACTGTTGCAGGTCACAGAGTATGGTGTAACACTGGGTCCAATCTACCGAACCAGCTTCCTTCTGACATTGTTTCACAAACAAAAAGCAAAAAATATTAATCTCTAAACCTATTTTAAAAAATCTATAAACATATTAATCTTTAAAACTGAACTTAATGCGTACCACAGCTGGCGGTGGTGCGGGGTGGGACCCCCAATGTTTTTAGTTTTGTTTTTGACGTGCTGCACATTTCTTCACGTTTGCAGTTTAATAATAATAGTAAATAATAGTTTAGTTTTTCCTGTGACTTATTTGCAGTATGATAAATGGTAGGAGCATAATATATGATCCCATTGTTTTGTTGGTCTTTTTTTTTGTAAATAATGACCTTTTTTGCAGTTTTATTTATTTATTTATTTTTGTATCTTTAGATCCTATGATGTCATCAAGTACTCGAGTTCTACTCGAGTTTTATTATGTTAATGTCGAGTTTAAAAATTATGTAGTCGTTCAACCCCTAGTGTAGACCGCTGAGTCATCAGGCCAGGACTCTGCGGTCTACACTCATCTCCAGGCCAGCGGTCACTCTTTCAAGGATGAAGATGTTCACATCCTGGACAGAGAGGAATGATGGTTTGAGAGAGGAGTAAAGGAGGCCATCTTTGTGAAAAGAAATCGTCCATCATTAAACAGGGGTGGAGGCCTCCGGGTTCAACTGTCCCCCTCTTACAATGCTGTGATTGCTAGTATCACTCAGCCCTCTGTGAACAGTAAACAGCCATCAGGTGCTAATGATCCATTGTTAGGCTGATGGTCCTTCTTGATCATGTGATCAGCTGGTTCTGGTTGTCAGCAGCAAACTGGTTGATCCACTCTGAGAAGGTGTTATTTAAGAGACTGAGCTGAAAACAGCACCTCAGACTGAGGAAGTCTCTTGGATGAGAGACGAAACGTTTCTACTTTTTTGTTGTTGTTTTTTTTTTTTTTTTTGAATGTCCAGAGGACCAGATTTAACTTTTTTTTGATCAAACCTAGCTTGTTTCATCAAACCAACTTGTTTCACTGTTTCTGACGCAGATGAGTTCTTCCTTGAACCAATGCCCCGGGGAAGACATCCTCTAGGTCTGACCCTCAGAGATGCTGCTTTGACTCTTTGAGGAGTCTTTGAGTCCTTCATTCAACAACTCGTCTCTATCATGTCATTTGTCCTCTAATCCTTGAGTTTCTCCACCTCCTCTTCTATTTTGGACATGTAGAAACTCTTTAATCCTCCCCACTGGCTTCCTTCTCCTCAGTTGTTATTTTGGCTCCCCATGTTGAGCTTCTTATTGCATCTTTTCCTCCTGTCTTCTCCATCATCGTCTTCTTCACACATCAGTAGCATTCAGGTGTGCGGACATTGCGTCCTGCGTTTCCAGGACTATTTTCTTAGCCCTTCCCCCGGCGCCAGCACCTCCTCTTTCACCACCCAGAGGGTGAATACTGTCCAATCGGCTGCCCCTCCCTCTCTCCCTCTGACACTTAAAGACAGCAAGGAAGGCAGCGCGGTAGTTGCGGTTCATCCAACCATACAGCAGCGGATTGGCGAAGGTGGAGCACATGGCGATCACGTGGAAGATGGTATAGAGCAGGTGGAAGTCGCGCATGTCCAGCACTGTGCTGTCAATGTCTGTGGCCAGCTGGAAGGCATGGAAGGGGAGCCAGCTGACAGCGAACACTACCACCATGGTCACTAGCATCTTGGTGGTTTTGCGGCGCCGGCGGTGCCGCTCCGAGCTGGCACTGCTGTTGCCACCATTCTCCGCCGGGCTGACGTGGCCACGGAGTTTGGACCAGATGCGAGCATAGGCAAAGGAAATGATGGAGAGTGGCAGGAAGTACTGCAGGATCAGCATGGATATGCTGTAGAGGGTGCCATCTGTGTTTTTACCGGGCCACTTCTCTGCACAAACCTGTGACACGAGAAGGAACGAGACGCTTGCTTTAGTTAGAGGGTTAAAGACTAAAACTGCAACAGCAAACCAACGGCATAAAATCAGCTTTCTGTGACAACTACCTCCAATGATGGTGGTAGAACGCTGGTGACACAAGCCATGCTACAGAATGTGTCATTAGGTAAAGCTTATGGAGTAGAGCAACATGTTTGTGGACCTCTGCTCAAAGCTCCGCCCCTTTTTGGGTGAAAACTTTGTACATGAGTCCTTGTGACTCACTGAGACTAACCTGCATAAATAAAGGTTGAATGAAAAACAAAACACTCCTGACTGGGAGTAAATGAAACTCTCAAGGTGTTTCCTTTGTAAAGAATAAATAAATCAATCAAAATACCTCAGCTTTGCTTTGCCCCATACAACCTCTCTCAAAAATTATGAACTCTCGGAGGACGTTCTTTTACTTATTTATTATTGTTTCAAAAATAAATCAGACATGCAATAAAACTATAAATTAAAAAAAAAATTGTAATTGACATTAGGAAACTATAAAAACTAAAAGAAGAAATAAATAAAATTACTGTAGTTTGTCACAATTGCTTTTATAAATCAGAAATAAAGTAAATTTTATGGGATAACAGTTTCAAGGAGAAGTAACAAATGATGTCCAGAGAACTAAATAATGACATAATGTCTGTGTAAAAATAAAAACCTCTCTTTTTATTGACCTTCTTTGTGTAGAGAAGCTAAAAAAAAAATAAAAATAAAAATCAGTAGTATTTGTTGTACAAAACTCCATGCAAAGACCTTAATGGCCCAACACATCTTTTATTTCCACTTTGAGACCAGAAGTTTGGGTTCTCGCAAAAAGTGGTGGGGCCAATTGAAGAAAAAGGAATTGACAAATTGCTTTTCCATTCCCAATCCTGCTTTGTCACTGAAATGATTTCAGATAAAATAGCTACATTGAACACAAATGAAAAGGCATCAAGTGTCCTAAATTAATCAATTAACTAAAAAAAAGTGCTGGAAAAACTTTTGATCAAATTGATTTTAAAAGGTCTAACTACTTTAAATTAAATTTTCAGTTCAGTTATAAATCTGCAATCACAATAAAAAAAAATCTCAGGGTATTTTATGCAGAGAAATATCGAATAATTCCTTTATAAAGAAGGTGAAAGCATCCTAAATGAGACTGTTCAGTGTTAAAATGTTGGGGGGAAGACTTAGAAGCATCCAGGTGTAAGAAATGAAAGCTGAGTGTGAAAAAGTGCTGGAAATCTACAGATAGGAGCGAGTGGAGGGTTGTAGAAGATGAAAGACGGAGAAATGAAATGAGTGATGAAAGCAGCGGCACTGATCAAAGCGGAGGATTCATTTCTGACACACGTGCTTATGAACACTTATGTTTCATTCAACCTTATTGAGACAGGTAAATCCCATTGAGCCTCGAGGACTCATTTACAAGAGAGACCTGACTTAACAAAGAAAGATGACAACAATGGACAACAGCAACAACAATAAACAGTTATAAAAAGTCATACAGATTTTTCATTTTTTACAAATAAGATGGAAAAAAGTAACAAAAACAGCTAGATTTTAAGGCGAATGTAGAACACTAATAACAGGAACATGTCTGCACTAGTATGTACCTGTATCGTGTGTCTGGGCTCCAGCGTGAACGAGCCGTACTCTCTGAAGATGGCCAGAGGGCTGGCGAGCACGGCGCTCAGCATCCAGGTGAGCGTGATCACCCCGAAACACACGTCTTTACGCATCCTGGTCTCCAGGTGGTAAACGATGCACCTGAAAGCCACAGAAACTGGTCTGAGTCCAGCTCCTGAAACATTTACAGACTCTTCTCATGAGTAATGGATGAAGCAGCTGAGCCTCAGAGAGCTGCTGAGACCTCCTGATGGTCCTGTTTACCCTCCTGTCTGCAGCAGACCGTTCAGACAGCCGGGGTTTAATTAAACACCTCTGAGGTTCTGCAGACTCCAGCAGAGATAAAGAACCCGTCTGTCTGCCTACCATCTCAGCTGCAGAACGTTCTGCTCTGTTATCTATAGAAGGAACCGAGTCTAAAGAAAAGAAAAAGATGATTTTCTTCTGTCATCAGGACCCACAGCAGCTGTCAGTCACAACCAACCCAACCTGAGAGGATACATAGGTTTATATTCAAATGTTTTTTCCAATAAACTTCCAGTTGGGTCTCTAATCAAACTTTTTATGACCATAAAAAGAAATATTAGTGCTCCTGTCAGAGTCCAGTCCTTGAAGCATGTTCAACGTGCAAAATAAAATATGTTCAGCTGCTGGCATTTAAGTTTCAAGTTAAATTTTGTAGTAAAATGAAAAAGATAATAAAACAGTAAATGACAATGCTTGTATTTAAACATTGTAGATCAGAGGTTCTCAAACATTTAGGGTCTGAGGACCCCTTACTGTGTAGATTATTTTTTAATTTTTTTTAACAATCCCTCATAAACCTCATGCTGACTGAAAATAACGTATTTCCATTTTAATCCCTTAATGCCATGGGGATATTGGTCTTTTTTAATTAAGTGCATTATGTTTGTTTTACTTGGATATTGGGTATACACTTTTTAAATGATATAACATAACTACAAAGTTTTTGTAATTAATTTTGAGGACTTCCATGCTACAGCTTTTGGACCCTTGGGGGTCCTGGACCCAAGCTTGAGAAACTCTGTTGTAGATTATTTGACAGGCTGAAGGACAGATCAGTGATATAAACTAATTTTCTATTTATTATTTGTAGTGAGCTAGCTGTTAGCTTCACTACTAATTAATTATTCTTACAGCTAGTTCAAGCACAAAGAATATTAATTGTTTAATTAACAATGAATTCTTTCTTTTTTCAGTTGAATTTCTGCCATGTGACCCAGACAACTTGAGAGTGGAGTGTATAATTAGTGACACGAGACGCCATTTTATCTTTGACCCATCAGAATAAATGCTGTCATTTATTTCACAGAATCAAAATTTAACATCAAACATGTACACATTGATTTGCTGATCTGTTTCTGAGTAATAAACTTAGCAAGATTTAATAAACAAGACAACAGAAGATTACTGATGGAGAATGATTCATCTCTGAAGGCAACTAGCTTGATTTACTGGCAAATAGAAGTTTAAAGAGAAGGAGTAAAGTTTAGATTTAAAGAGGAGGTTTAGATGGATGAAGGAAGATGTATTGACCAGAAATGGCACCCTTCCTCCGACCCCAGCTCAGCCCTCCGGTACACTCAGCGTGTGACGACTTGTTACCTTGGCAGAGGATACATCAGCTCCAGAACAGAGGTCCATTGGCACGCTACCTTTTCAGCGTCTCCGGTCAGGGTGGCTGAGAATCTTCCGAAGTAGTTCCATATACTCCGTTCAACAGAATAAGCTTCCTTCGAAGTTGAGATCATTTAATGCTCGGGTTGAGTCACAGCTCGCATCGCTGTGACTCCGCTGGAATGGACGGACACTTGGCTCATGGTCCAAAAATCCATCAGCTACTTAGTTCAGCTGGAAGACCCCAATAAGACTGAGTCTTCCAGTAAGGCTGAAAGTTCCAAGAAATCTGGAAAGACTGGGAAGACTGAATAGTTCCAAGAAGTGTTGACTTTTAAAGAGTATCCACTTCCTGTCACTTGGTACTTCCTGATTGGTTGAAACAACCAGCAGGGGTGTAGTTTTAGTGATGTCAGAGGGTTATTAGAAGTCAACAGACAGCAGAAATGTTTTTAAGGATGGTTAGTACAGACAGAGAAATATTTTGAAGAAGTGAGAGACTTTGCAGGTGCCAGCCAGTTCTTATTTACTGTCTGAGAGTTTTAAAAACAAGGCACTTCGTTCTCATAACTTGTGCTCTGGCATTTGACCGACATAAAGTCCACTCCTCACACAGAAAGAAGAGTAAATGCACACTTACTTCGTAAATATACATTTAAATTGTATGATCTAAGTCTAATGAGGTTTAAAAATCATTAATACTGTTTCACAGTTGATTTAAATGAGTGGTTCACTTCAACATTAGAAATGGTATGAACTAAACACACTTTTGATTATCAAGATATTGTAAAATAGTAATGATAATATAAAAAAGAAGATTGCTCTTTCAATTGATTAATTCAGGATACAATTAAATAGTCTCTTGATGTATTTCTGGATTCAAATCAATGAAACAACAGTTCCTGTCCCCTGAAGGTCTTCAGAGACAGATTGATGCTGGAGGTCTAGTTCACTACATATTCTAAACTATACAATTATGATAAAGAAAAAAACATCAAATTACGTGTCTTGAGGCTCAATATATACAATACTAACAATCTAAAAAAGTTAAATCTGGTCCTCTGGACATTAAAAAAAAACCCAAAACAAAGCAAAACAACAAAAAATGTACATTTTTTGTTGTTTTGCTTTGTTTTGGGTTTTTTTTTTGAATGTCCAGAGGACCAGATTTAACTTTTTTAGATTTTTCTACCTGGATTATTGAGCATGCATCAGGAAATACTAACAATCGGCTCCGCCCCTTTTTGGGAGCAAACTCCACTCCTGTTTGGTTTTAAAAGAAACTTATGAGACATTTGCTTAAAAAAAAGAATGTTCATTAAAAGACTACAGCTTTGCACTGAAGCTTTTCAGTGGTTTATCAACAATTAATTATTTAATGTCACTGCTGATCAACAAACACTGAAGTTATAGAGAAACTTTAATAAATATGGAACAACATTGTGCTTAAAAAGTTGTGAAAAAAACACCCCAAATGTAAAAACACTGTGAGGCCAGGGTGGTATGTGGATTACAGAATACACACAGCTACATACATTTTTTGAAATTTTCCATTTTAACATAACTGACTATTCGCCGTAGCAGAAATAAATAACAAAAACTCAGATGGTCAGATTTACACTCAGGCAAAGTTTGGTGGTAGTAGCTGAGAGTCATCCTCAGCACCTCTTCATGTGAAAGTCCTTCAGCAGGTCTTGACTTGCTCTGAAGACTTGCTTCATCAGTTTTTGTTCATTCCAGCCTTCTGGTTTAAAGGACGTCACCCCAGCAGCCGAACGCTTAATTACGGCTGATAGTGAACAACAAGCCTTCAGCTTGTTCAGTTATCATGGAAACATCAGCTGAAACTGTCTGATTCAAAGAGCAGCTGAAGAGGAAATAATTTCATTTTGACTTCATTAAAAGGAGAGTTTGCACAAGTTCTGTGTAAAGCTAATAAACATCTTACCAGTTGTAGATAGCTATTTAGAAAGACACCAGTCTGGTTTCCTTTTTCATTGTAAAAGTTTATAAATCACCAGCAAATAGACGGTCGTTTACATAACATTCTGGGGTTATTTGAAGCCACTAATGTCCAAATAAGATTAAAACTTTACAAAATGTTTAACAAATACTATATTTATTACTTTGATTCTTAATACACCACTAATGTCATCAATATTTTAATTTATGTATAAAAATGCAAAGTTTTAACTTCATGCCTGCTGGAGCCAATTAGATGAAGACAAAGAACCAAACAAACCAGGTGTTGTGTTTGGAGTTTTATTTTAGTCCCTACCATCTGTAAGCTCCACCCACCTGTGGCGGTCCAGGGCAATGACATTGAGCGTGAGCGTGGAGACGTGCACAGCAAGGCCCTGGGCGAATGGCAGCAGGAAGCAGAGCGTGCTGCCGAACTTCCACTCTCCCTGAAGTGTATAGACGAGGGTGAAGGGGAGGCAGAGGGTGTTGACCAGCAGGTCGGCTGCAGAACCACAAGGGAAACTGGTTACAAACCAGCAGAACCACAGAGAACATTGGTTACAAACCAGC